TCCCGGTTAGAATTCCTTCAACGTTTACTGTTCAGGAGGTTTTTTACTGGGAGACGAATTATCCACAGGGGTCTCTTTTTTTCACAAAACAAACTGTCCCAATGATTAAAACCAGTGAATCACTGAATAAAGCACTTTCACATTACAAATCAGTGTTTTTCCAATGCTGTTTGGCATGTCGCAGGCAGGCCGCTCACCTTTTAGGATCATCTGCATCCATCTTTTCTTCTCCAGAACAAACAGATCCAGTTATTTAAACTGTTAAAAACACTAAATAAAGCAGTTTCATCTTAAAAGAATCTGTTTTTCTGGCATTCTAGTTGCATAAGTGCTGCTAACTATGGTGGTTTGGCGCCTATAGAGCTATTGTTTGGTTTGTCTGCTTTGGGCTACTGTAGAACCATGGTGGTGAAGGTGCCAAACTCCATGAACAAGGACCTGTTTCCTATTTAGATATAAACAGCTCATCTGAAGGTAACAAAAACACAACAATTCTTATTTTTAGGTGATTATATACTAAAGAAAACATACTTCCAATGTTATATTCCATTTTTGCCAATAAAGCCTTCTAAATCCTACACACTGGACCTTTAACACCTTTTTAAAACAAGATAAGATGACTCAGGTGGACACATCAAATGTCAGCTGGAGACAGCGTTTTTAATCAAGTCACAATGCTAATATTAGCTTAAGTAGCTACCTAGCTACAGCTGATGAAATCTGCTAGCAACAGTTGTCATTTCCACTACAGTGACTGAGTATTGCCTCTGTATCTTGTTCATTATCGCAGTTTCTCTTTTGTCTGTCATGTGATCTTGATGTTTACAGCGGGCAAGTGCTTGAGGATTGGTCATTCTAACTTGCTATAAACAACATCACTTAATGGTGGAAACTAGTCTCGAGAAGTTCCCAACTTGTTCCCTAATGGTCTCCAAATCTTACCAATGGTTTCAGGATCACTATAACTAAAATTCACTTGTTCTGTCTCTAGGTCAACCTTGCATCCAAGGATGGAAAACATTCAGGAACAAGTGCTACTATTTCTCTCCCAGCGGAGTGACTAAAACCTGGGACGCCAGCAGGAAAGACTGTAAAGAAAGAGGAGCAGACCTGGTGATTATAACCACACAGGAAGAGCTGATATTTGTCAGCAAAATGTATGCAGTCACCTGGATCGGTTTGACTGACAGAGAGCAGGAGAACATGTGGAAGTGGGTGGATGGGACTGATCTAGTAGGCGAATTCTGGCAAGCCGGGGAGCCCAATAATAGTGATGGAGGTGAGGATTGTGCTGAGGTCTCACGTTCGGCAAAGAAATTTAATGATGTGCCTTGTAGCAGAAAATTTTCATGGGCATGTGAGGCTTGAATCCCTGTGGCTAGCCATTCATTTGTCTTTCACTTCATGTAATTCAAGCCCTATCAGCCATTGTACAGTAGGCTAACCCACTGCCTCATGATCTGATTGTTATTACTCTTCCATACAATAATAGACAGCCCTTCAAATATACTGTTACTTTATTATTTTTTTAATTTCTTTTATGAAATAAAAGCACTAAATAAATATAAATGTGATATATCCATTGAATGAGCTTCCTTTAGTTTTCATTATCTTACTTATTAATATTTTGTTCCTACTTGTATCAATAATTTGTAATTAAAAGCAAAAAAAATACAAGTGTAAGCACAAAGTTGTATCTTCTGGATGTTTTCTTCGACTGCTTCTAAAATAAACAATAAAAACATGGAAAATAGAATAATGGATTGACTCATTTTATATTTCGCAATTTCCTTATTTAAATCTTGCAGTATCAGAGGTTGCTGCATTGAGTAAAGCTGAAGAATCAGCAGTTTAGTCCAGGAGGAGATTTATCTCTGGCTTCCTGCTGCTCCATAGATGACAGTGAGGACTCCAGAGACCCATCGAGTTGAACGTCTTTCCATGTACAGATAACAGGGTCAAATAGGCCTATGTGTTTCCTTTATGCTTGCAAAAAAAACATCTGCCTTGAAAAATATTTCCGACCTAGCAGTGCAACAGTTGTCTTACATCACATGATAGGATACAGGGTCTTATACGGGTCGAAGTCATTCTAATTGCCAGTTACACTGAATTGAACTAAGCTCATTGCCCTTTAAGAGGTTATATCAACATTGGTTCACATCACCCAAGCCCTGGTTAAACATTAACTGTGGCTTACCATAAGAAACTGCTCTCACCAAGTGAAGTAACAACAAAACTATTTTGCTTCACAATTTGATCAAAAGAAAAAACTGTGCTGTCAGAAAACCTCCCTCCAGCACTTGATATTTCAGCTCCATGTTTTAACGCAAACATGGTAAATGTGACAGAGTCTGTTTGGAAATCAGTTCTTTCCTCTCTTCAGCTGCGACTCTAACCTTTAAGCTAATATTTACTTTACAAACTTCTTTGCTCCTGCACTGGGTAGGTTAACCAGCACACACACTATTGTTCCTTAGCCTTCATTTCTTTTCAAACAGAGTTAAAGAAATCAATGTCACCAATAGTTTCAGATTTTTTTTCCTCTCACTATTGTTTCTGAGCTGTGTTGTCTGTTGGCAGCAGCTCACACAGAGAGGAGCCAAGCTCTCCAACAAACTGACAAAGCCAGAGTAAAGTTGCTGCCTTCAGTCGGTGTTGGAATTACCAGAAGTGCTGGATGAGCACATACCTTTACAATGTGAACGATTGCACAGTTATCAAGAATTGACATTTAGGGTGTGGAGAGTGTAAAAGCCATGCAAACAGGTGGAGGATCATTGTTCAGGTGTTTCGTCATTGTAAACACATCCTGGTGCCTTTTATTACATACTTGATATACTACCTATACTACCAACATTTGATGCAGACAGTAGATTTACTCTGCTGAAACCAAATTCATTGGCATGTTATAACCATCAATACATGGGTTGTCTTGACTGACATGAGGAAAATGCATTTGGTTGTCATTCATTATGGGTAATGTATTTTCTAGTGTCCCTTTCTGTTGTAATAAGCAACTTCTACCTAATAAATTAAAAGCGTAGTTATATGACTTGTCCACATTTTAATGGCCTCATCCAGCCCATGTTGCACATATAAGAAGTGGTGTAAGAAGTGTATCAGTTCTTAAGTTAAAGTACCAATACTACTCTATGCATATACTCTGTTACTAGTAAAAGTATGTAAGTACCAGCAAACCTCACTCTGCTGAAAAAATGTCTCCATCTGTGCTGTGCTATTATATATGATGCTTCTGGATTATTATTTCTGGTGCATTCATGTGTATCAATATAAACAATAATATTGCATTTACGTTTCTGTGTGTTGGATTTAGTGGCATCTAGCAGTGAGGTTACTCCCGTGTGCCAAGCGTGCAGGAGAATGGTGGCCGTCGCAAAAACACAAATTGCCCTGTCTATAGCCAGTGTTTTAATTTGTCCCTTCTGGGCTACTGTTGAAACAACATGGCTGACTCCATGGGAGAGGACAGGCTCTGTGTGTAGATAAATGGCTCATTCTGAGGTAACAAAAACACAATGATTTTTAATTTCATGTGATTATAAACTATAATTGAAACATAGTTATCAATATTATATACTTTTTTTTTCTGCCAATAGATGTCCCTAAATCCTACACACTGGACCTTTAATGCACATGAATATATATGGTAGTTATTTGATAACAGAATTTGACTTGTCTTAACTATATGTTGCATTTTTCTGCTTTTTAGGTTGTATTTATTCTAACTATTACGTACTGCATTTTACTGCTGGGTAGTTTAATTTGAAGCAATGCATCAGATTCTTTAAGATCATCATGTTTGTAGCATCACTGTTCTTTGAGAATACATATAAGGAGAATCATTATCAATTAGTATTATCAAAAAAAAAAACCACTATTATAAGCATCACATTGAGGTACAGAGTTTGTAGTGTATAGGAAGGTTATGAAAAATTCCAATATTAAATGTAACTAAGGCTGTCAGATAAATGTAGTGGAGTGTAAAGCACAATATTAGCCTCTGAGATGTGGAATAGTATTATAATTTTGCATAAGATGGATGGAAGTGCCGCGAAAGTATGTAATGTAAATGTATATTCCACCACTGCATAAAATCTTGTGTGTGTGTGTGTGTGTGTGTGTGTGTGTGTGTGTGTGTGTTCAATTTAATCTACTGCATTTATAGTCATGTTCACAACCAATTCAAATTTGGAGTCCCAGTTGTGTTTATTTCTCACACAGACGCACTGTATTAGGTTTACAAACCGGGCACCTGGGTGTAGGAGCTTCCGTGAGGTCCTTGAATGCAGCGTCGGTTTCCAGGGAGTGGCCCCTGCACCTGTCCGACCTGTTTGGGGGACACATGACTCCGAAGGAATTTCCTCCGCTGCTCCCGTCCTTTGTTGAGCGGAGTCTGTTTAGTGGGAGACAGAGGGTGAGAGCCAGAGGAGAGGGGGAGATAGAGAGAAGACAGAGGGAGATATAGAGATGTCGGAACCAGCCACTAACCCCGCTGCCACCTCGTTCCCTGCGCCAACTATTTCTCTACCTTTGGGACTGGAAGTACTGAGAACTTACTCTGGAGCTCTTGTCTGTGTAGAAATAGTAAGTGTGTTTTTATAAAGAGTTTAATAATGATGTATGTTGTATTCTTCAATCTACCAGTGACCTCTGTGGTGTTGTGGAGAGAACATGCAGTCACTATTTCTTTATTAATAATTAATAACCTTATGTTGCTCAAGTCCAGTTAGACTTTCAGTAGGCTGAAACACGGTCTATCCTCTGTGATGTGCGGTGTACTCAGTCTTTAAGTGTTGCTAACACTCTGATCGTCACTGTGATTGCCTGAGGCTGGCTGTAGTTGCTTATGTTTGACAGTCAAAGCAAGGTTAAATACCGCCTCGAGCTGTTTTTATAGTCCAGTGTGGGCCTGTAAAATATTAAACTTGCAATGTGCATCACCTCCTCTAACAATATTGAAAAAGCCTCTTTATATGCAAGCTGTGAGCTTATGATGATTTGACTACTTATCTGTAGGCCTGTTTGCAGTTGCAGGCCTGTACAGATAGGCCTTCAGGTGGAAACAGAGTCATTTAAATGCAGAGTTGAGGCTGTTATCAGCCTGTACCCAATGCTAAAGCCTTTGCCACAGTGGTGCCTCCAAAGGGAGGCTAAGGGGGGCACGGCCCCTTGATACAATTGCTCACCTCTGCACTGGACCCCCTTAGCAAAAATAATGGAGGCTAATATTACTGTATTTAAGAGGCTGTGGCATGCTTATGTAGTAGTATCTTGTGAAACTAGACAGTACCACCTGTCTCAGTATAGCTTATCAGTAAGGGGGCTAAATAATGCTCCAGATTTAAGCGAAATTTTGGGAACAGCTGACATGGGTATTTTTAAAGGGGTCCTTTGAACACTCACAATCATGCTCAAGATATCCAAAAAAAATGGGTTCTATGGTTACCCACAAGTCTTCCCCAAACGTGAGAAGGCTCACCCAGCTACCAGTCAATATTTTGTTCCTTACAACCAATATACTGCCTTAAATTAAAAATTTTTTAGGAGAAGGACAGTGAGCCTATTTGAAGAGCAATAAATTGCCTAATGCGCAGATACATAACACATTAATAAAGGATAGTTGTGGAACTCAACATGTTAACTGTACTGGTGTTAGTCTATGCATATCAGATATTTAGCCATATCAACTGTAAAATAAGAAAGTATTTCAGTATGCAATTCCTTAACTTTCCTTATCGACATAGTTTTTAACTACCCTATATTCTAATTTCAAATTTCTGAAATTCAGTTATGGCTTTTTGGTTTGGTTTGCCACCCCAGACTGCCATAACACTGACATGCAGTGAATTTTCTTTAGTGTTTTAATCAATTTTGTTAACTTCATGTTTAACCCATTGTCCAAAACAAACTGGAGAACATAATGTATAGTCTCCCTTGCACCACACATGGTGCTTTTAGCATGAGACAACATTGATGTGAAAAGCAGAGTGTATTATAAGCAATATTTTAAGATAAATATACCTCACAATTATAGATGCACTAATTAGATGTTACTTATCCACATTTAATACAGCTTCAAATCATATCATAAAATTTGGTGTTCATTTAGTCACAGCGGGCTGGTACACCTCAGCTGTTTCTGGTCACCTAACATAAATCAAATGAGTTCCACTCAGCAAGGTATTTAAATAATTTAAAAATTTAAATATGGCAGATCAGGAATTGAGGCCGTGTAAGTTGAGGTATCGTCAAAGTACACTACACTAGTGTTGTCAAAAATAATGATTTATTGCTACATCGATTTTGAATATTTGAAATGGTTTCAAAACTCAGTATTGATACACCGGTACCAGCTGTGCTTTTTCACTTTGTCTTATTGTTAATGTTTGCTACAGTCATTCTGCTGTCCTCTGCTACTAACCAAGAAAAGAAAAATCTTTGTTTGACTTTTAATAAAAATGAATACGTTTTATGCCCTCTATTTTTCTCCATTGTATCGAATATTAATATTTTTCAAGGTATCGTGTGGAAGTTAAAAATTCCAGTATTGTGACAACACTATAATACACCATACCAGTAGTATCTGTATTATACCTGGTGTCTCCCTGGTGTGTCATAAATAGTTAACAAACCTGTAACTGTACAAATGTGTCCACTGAAACATAATCAATGATTAATTGAGTCCAAGCTCTCTCTGTCAAAGTGCTGAATTTCACAGAATGAAATTAACTGCTTCTGTGCTTGTGTCTATCCCCAGTTATTTGGTGGTCTAGTATGGATCCTGGTGGCTTCCTCCAATGTGCCCGTGCCTCTGCTGCAGGGCTGGGTGATGTTTGTCTCCCTCACCACCTTCTGTCTCTCCACCGCCTACCTCATGCTCCTCCTCACCGGCCTGGCTGACCGCATCAACACTGACTGGAATTCCTTGGTGAGCTGTAGATCAATGAGCTGTCAATTATTCAGCTAACCTGTCTGTGTCCATCTGTCTTCCCAGTCGTTGATTCATCCTTCTGTCTGTATGTCTATCTAGCTATCCATTCACAGCTGTCTGTCTGTCTGTTACACCGCCTGTAGATCAGTGGATTAGTGTGACACCATTGATAGGACTCTGTATTGCATCACGCAGAATAGCTCCATAGTGCTAAATGTCTAAAACTCCACGGGGAACCTTTAAGATGTCTGTCAGCATTTGAGAATGTTGCCATGGCAGCAACTGTTGTTTCTGGGCGTGAAAGTCAGAGATCCAGTTTAATGGCAAAACTGCAAGTCAGTGTTATGGCAGTGACATTATTTTAGTTCAACTCATATTATGAAGTGTCAGCATATCAAACGGTGACTGTGCTACAAAATTGGACCTCAGTTAACTGTCCCAAAGCACATTAATGTTAAACAGTAGTCTAATATACAACGATCTATTGTACATTCTTAATGTATGAAAAGAAAGTTATTTTCATGTCGTTGTGATTGCTTATAGATTGCATGATGTTTTCACATATAATTTTCATGGCTGATATTATGTAAGTTCAGCTGTGAGGAACAGAAAGAAATCCATTCGTGATTTCACCACCTCACCACACAGCACTTGTCCAAGTGTGGGCACACAGATGCACGTTTGACGCATTGTGTTATTATATTACTCACAATATCATGTGTCAAGTCTTAGAGGAAATAGGTCTTTCACATCACTTATCAGTAGTGTGTATATGTGTCTGCAAAACTACATTTTTTAGCTTAACACAAAAACATACTCCATGAAAAGAACTTGTTAATGTGTCACTGACAAAGATACTACAGACATTGCGTTTGTAGCATCTAAGACAATCTAATAACACAAACTCAAGGGATAGTTTGAAACAGGTGCTCACTGATACACTAAAGTTCACAAACTGTGTCTTCAGGGTTATGATCGAGTTACACAGTGAGGCAGGTCCTTTTTTCATAGGCAAGGATATTCCCACAAAGTTTTATGCCACTTATTCAAAGATAAGCGGTTACACTTCCTCATCTTAAAATGACTCAGACATTTTAACTATGTGAATTAAACCACTAATGTCTACTGGCAACTTTTATTTCCATGTTCTGGCTGATTAAGTGCCAATGACCAACCACAACCCCAGCTGATGTCGGTGACCGCTTTAACACATGCAAATCATTGTTTTAAAGAGGGCTTGAAAGACTTTCTAGCATCAATTACAGCTCTGGAGATTTGTAATTTAGGCAGAAATGGTAACTCAGATTGTTAGAAGTTGTATAAACGTCTACATTTTTTGATCTGAAAGACAAGACCCATCAGAATAGCTGCACTCTAAGCAGACCACAAAATCCCATGGAACTGATGCAGAGCTAGGATTTAATGTGGAGACACAATACAGCACCAAGAGTAATAGAGCTACATTGATCGGTCGAGTAATTATTACCCAATAAATAGAAAATGTATCACTTAATGACTTTGACAATGGAGTCATTTGCTTGCCATTGTTTTACATTACATAAAATTAATTCTCTTTTTGTTGTGGGCTGTTGGTTGGTCAAAGTTATACAGTATTGACATCAAATTGGACTTTTGGAGATTGTGATGGGGATTTTTAATTGTTTTATAGAACAGCTGGTTAATCATTTGACGGAGCTAATAGTCCTCAGCCCAACTGATAAAAAAGTAGCGCTGGGCGATGTGGAGAAAATCAAATATCCTGATATTTTTTTGGACCAAATACCTCAACATCGATAATTATGATAATATTGTAGGGTTGGCTATTGGTGCTTTTTGATAAATTATTATTAGTACTTTGGATATGATAGCTAACTGGGTAAAGGCAAAAAGCAGAAAATAGCCAGTCTGGTAAGTTTGAAAAATTGCAGTACTTTACTGTAATTTGGCCTTTAAAACCGGGAAAAGACAAAATGTAGGATTATGTTGCAGCCCTATTGTGAAATAGCTCCTGTTGTATGTACTGTACAGTGTAAACAGTAGCCCAGCTGTAAACCTAATGAGCATAGCCTACTTATTATATGTAAAAAATCTTATATAAAAATGAGTCAAGGCTATAGGCAGTCCATTTACCTTGCTTAAGATGTATTAATAATGCACCCTAGAGCCTACATGTAGTCACAGAGTACAACATATAGAATGTAAATAACATGAAATCACTATTACAAGAAAATCTCTTAGCATTGGAGAGCATGTTCCATTAGTGCAATAAGTACAGGTGTGAGAAATATATATTTAAGTGCCATGTTGCTGTATTATGTCACAAGTGTGGGCTCTCAGACAGAGCCAGCCTCGCCTCAGGCTCCCGGCCCTGCTCCCAGGAGTAGCCAGGCGTGTGGGGTTGTTTGTTTTCGGCCGAACAATGAGTGACATGGATGATGAGCTCACACCAAAACGCAACAAAGGCCCGCCTGTAGTCCCGCCAGGCTCGCAACACAAACTCTCATTAACCTTCTTTACTCTCTGGCACACCCTCTGCCTCTCTCTGTGTCGTTAATCCCTCTCTCTGTGTCGGTCTTTCTATTTTCTTTCTTAAAACGATGGTTTCCACATCAGCTAAACCTCTTCAGTTTATTGTATTTTTATTCTCCTTCCTTTATCTGACATGTTATGCTTTATTGTTCATGTAAGAGCTTGATTCATTGACAGATAGCCTGGTTTGTTATGTGAATGCCAAAGTTCAGATGGCTGATATTTGTCTGATAACTGTCCAATACAATAAAACTTAGATGTTGATAATACGTTGGTCCAATCTACTGCTACTACTTGTTTTTTATTTCTAATGCAGTCTTCTTTTCCCCACAGGATGTGATTTACCATTTTGTCGCTGTGCTTTTCTACTTTGCTGCCTTCGTTTTGGAGGCAGCAACGACAGCAGCAAACGGAGGAGCTCATGTCAAGCCCCTGCCTAATAGCACTGACACTGTCATGTGTATAACCTACCCTCGGGGCAATATATTCACAGTCCTGAGTGACAGGCAATACAGTATTAATGTGGCAGCCACGGTGAGTGCTATATATCTTTAAAAAGAATAAGTCAGTATAATTTGTGCATTTTAATTCATATTATTATCATATTGCAGTACTATCTGAATGAATATAGCCTAATGTGAGACACCTTTGTGACGTTCTGAGGTAGGGGAGCTGCTGAATCTTCAACACTCAGCAACTCCCACCATGACAATCTAGACTGATAAATAGCACTACAGATAAGAGGAAAAATATGTGTTTTTGGTTTTGGGTGGAACCGTTGGAGTGTCGAAGTAAAACTAAATCTGACTTCAGCCGTATAGTTCTTTTTCCAAATATCCAAATTCTTTTGAACAACACTGTACAACAATGAAGACAAAATATTCTGGATATGGTCGCTGCCATCTTGGGCTAGTGACGTCATTTGGAGTCAGTCTGTACAGTTGTGATCACCACGGTATCGGGTTCCCGCCCATACACCCGTTTGACTAATCACGAGCAGCGTTGTTTGTTTTTGTTATTAGTTTGGTTGCAATAAACACCTGAACATACATACATCAGTGTGATATGGACTACCTAAAATGATAGAAACCATTTTGGGAAAACTTGATTTGATGTGCACTTGAGTTTTTAGCTAACATAAAGGGGGGCAGGGGCTATGACCTATCCTGCAGCCAGCCACCAGGGGGCGGTGGCTTTGCCTTCACTTTTATGGGGGGTGTCATGTCTTCAATTTTAATTATACAGGCTATAGCATATACAAAGTAACCCCCCTGTTCACTAAACTTCAGCTTTGGTCTTGTGTGTATTTAGATTTTTGCATTCACCTTGTCCTGATATCAGCTAAAACTGTGGGCTGTGTGATCAAAAAAGGAAGTGCTAGCCACTTTCTCTGACAGATATGCAGTAGGTTATGTTAGGTTACGTGGGGTGAGATTGTACTTTAGGTTCACAAAATATACCCAAACCATGTGCTGGCCCAAGATCTAAATTGAGGAGCTCATGCAAAAGGCAACACTTCTGTGCTGCATTTCCATATTCTCTCTATATTGTATGTCAAAGAAAAGGCCATTTGAAATGTTGAAAAGTTTTGAATAATGATTATTTAAGCCATTTATCATGCAAAAAACATTTTCTAGTTAAGGTTATAAAATGTTTCACAGAGCTTTTCTAACATTTCATATATTTGTTGTTTGCTTTCTCTCCTTTTGTCTCCTTGTCCCAGATATTTGCATTTGTGGTGACACTATGCTATGGCTGCAGTCTGGTGATGGGCTTCAAGAGGTGGAGGATGTAGCCTTGAAAACCAGCGTAAACTAGTTTTGTAACTGCTTCATAACTTCAGCATGTATTTAAACATCAGCCACACTATCCAGAGCTCGACAGAGAGCATGGCTATTGAGTTCAGTTCAGTGCAAACTTTGTTATTTCCTGATGGGAAACAGCAAAGCTTTAGATGATAAAATTTCTGCCTTAGTCAACACATTTGTTAAGATTTCTGGACAATATTATTCCTACAGGTTTCAAACAGGTTCAGTCTGGGCTGTTTAAGTCATTTTAAATAATAGCAGTCTACAATGTTCACATAACTTTATATATGAACACTCTGAGGCAACACAGAGTGATTTTGCAAGATGCAATTAATGCTTGTGACAGTTATGGTTTTGTTTTGCCACCCACTTTGTTAATCATACAAATATTTCCCCATACTCTGTGTAACATCCTCGTTGGAGGGAATATTTCCCATTTCCAATACCAAGAAATATGCCAATGTATGCTGCTATAAGTTAGTATGCACAGCTAAACGTTAATGTGATGCAATTTCATCGAAAGACTTTAATATTGCCCCATTTCCTGAGTCACATCCTCATTGGAGGGAATATTTCCCATTTTTAATACCACAAAAAATGCTTCTGCATGCTGCTAATCGGTTATGCACTACAGAACAGTAATGTGATAGTGCAATTTGTTTGAAAGAGCCTTTAAGGCAATGTGACGTTTTCACTGTCCTCCAGTAACCTTGGTGCTAAGAAGCTGTAAAATCACTCTATGTTGAAAGCTGGAGTGCTGAACTTTGTCTCCCCCCTCTGGCAGTGAGAGTAATTACACAAACACTGTTGAAGTGTGCTTATGATGAATGCCTGCAGGTGAACTTGAGCTTTTGTTTTTTACTTGTTTTTATGTAGATGAAGAGCTTTTGGAAAGGTGCAAAATGAAAGTATTGTTTTTCCTAAAAAATATATTGTGAATTAATCATTTTTTAATTTTTGTGGGGCAAATGGTCAGCTCAATGTCTGCCCGGTTGCCATGAGCTAACACTTACACCAAAATTGCCCATCTTTGTTGCTAAATCTGTTAATAACTGTTAGGTAACGTTAGCTGTAGGATGCTAACAGTTTGCCCTGTAAATCTGTGTGTGCAACAGACTCTGTCCCCGGTGTGGAGCTCACACTCCTGCAGCAGCAGTCTCCTAGCGGATGTAGACACAGGGGGACCACAGATGTTTCACAATAAACAGAGCAAGAGCAGGACAGATCATAGAATAAAGGTACTATATGCCAGCACAGAGTCACTCTCCACTCGACCATGACACGTGCAGGTTGTGCAATAAACGGGCAACTACTTATGCTTCGAGCAACAGCACTGTGGTGATATTAATGCAACAAAAGAGGGAAAGGGGAGTGTGACATCTTGTAGCTATTAGCTGCTTTAATCCTTCCTCTGAATGCCAAGCTACCTTTCTAACTGGAGCATCTACACCAGAAACTTTTCTCAAACGCTTCCTATTTTCCTCCAGGGTCCTAGCTAATCTTCAATCGCTATTGTCTCTCCCCCCTTCCTGCCTATTTAGCTCTGGCTGGTTGACGTAAAACGCATCACTTGTGTGCTAGCACAATAAATTTGCCGCAGACATTACAGACAAGGGTGGCATGGTGGTTCGGTGGTTAGCACTGTCACCTCACTGTCACTTCACTGGGTACTCCGGCTTCCTGCCACAGTCCAAAGAATGGCATGAATGGTTGTCTGTCTCTATGTGTCAGCCGTGCAATAGTCTGGCGACCTGTCCAGGGTGTACCCTAGTTGTCGCCCACTGATAGCTGGGATAGGCTCCAGCCCCCCCCCCCCCCCCCCCCCCCCCCCCCCCCCCCCCCCCCAGCCCCGCGACCCTCAAGAGGATAAGCGGCTACAAAAATGGATGGATGGACATTACAGACACCAGGTTTTCCCCAGTGGTGATAGACTTAATCAGCAATGTGTGAATTCATTTTTCAAAGGCTTGAATGTAACAGACAAGTTCTGCACTCCAGCTTCAACACAAATGTTATTACATTTTTATATGGCCACTATTTAAAATGTGAGTTAATCTAATATTTGAATTTCAAAGTTGTTATCTTTTAATGTGAGCAATTTTTGTCAAATTTTCTCAGTATATTTTAAATAACTATTTTTCACAATATTGTTGACTAATGTTTCTCAGTGCTGTCCTATGTGTCTAACTCCACTGACTTACTAATAAATATCATTTGACCATTTATTTGGTTAAATAGATTTGTCATTTTAGTGACTTTTACTGCAAACTGATCATTTAATCTGACCATCAATAATGCTTTTGTCAAAATGCTTTTGTCAGCAACTATATTTCAAACAGTGATCTTTGTGTACTAATGGATCATGTATAGTACAGTATGTTTGTAGTGTTTGACCCATATTGTAACTGTGATAATGAATCATAAAATTACCCAAATCATTAACTATCTTGCTACATGATTTATTAGTTGTATTTAATATATACTCCTGTTTGCATTAGACTGTTAACTTTTATTAATTTAAAAATTGTTTAAATGAAGAATTTTTGTTTTTTGGCACCTGCTGTTTTGTTCGTTTGTTTTTGTTGTTTTTTTTTTGTTTGTTTTTGACATTTAAATGCATTTTAGAACAACAGAAATAAAGGTTTTGAAGAAAAAAATGGTGCACTTGTCTTGTGTTGCTGTCTGCCACAGTGTCTTCTTTGATGCTACCACTGAGAGGCGCCAGAGTCAGAAATACTCAAGCTCAACACAGGGGTTTTGTGAGAGCAAACCCAGGAAGTGAACCGAGATAAACTGGCTTACAACACTGTCCCAGGTAGTATAGTTTCTCGTAGAATTTCTCAGGTTGCACAGTTCAAAGACTTTTATGACAGGAACTGAGACGGTTTCTTTCTAAATTTAATACAGTATTTTCTTGCCTCCACCCCTGTCTGCCTAGCAGTGGCATAACTAGAATGATACTTAAAAGATACAGTATAAAGACTTGGCTAATAATATTCAGAAATGTTTTTACAGATCTGGTAGGGGTTCTGTCTACCCCCATATCAGAAAGATTTTCTAAATTTTCTCCAATGGGAACACCACATTCTAACGACAACAACAGCAATTGAATCCACAGCAGAGGCTTTGATCTATTTTAGCTGTTTCCAACATGCAGTATGGGGGCAGCAGTGGCTCAGTCCACAGGGACTTGAGATGGGAACTGAAGGGTTGCTGTTTAAAGTTCCCAACCAAACCAAGTATGGAGTGTGGACTGGTAGCTGGAGGTTTGCCTCCTGGCCACTGATGAGGTGCCCTTGGGCAAGGCACTGGGCCCCCAACCACTCGGGGCGCCTGTCCTTGAGCAGTCCCCTATCTCCAACATCCCTCCATTTAATACATGTATAGGTCCTGTATGTGCAAATGTGTGTATTTTAGGCCTGTGTGTATATGGCAGGTAAAAGAAAAGGAACTTCCCATCAGGGATTAATAAGGTATGTCTTCTTCTTCACCTAAGCACAGGAAACATTTACTGCTTGTGTGTCAAATCAATTCAGCAACACAAATGAAGTTTAACTGCATATGTTTGTGCATATTGTCACATCACACTGAGATACTTGATATAGACGTTGATGTATCTTGAGGATGTAGCTGTGGTTGTCATTAATCACTCAACTAGTCAGCATTCCTTACCCTAACTACACATCTATACACTATTTAACCAGGTTTACAGGCATTTTTCCACCACAAAGTGTTGCTGGAGCTGGCAGGATGCTGCAATACTCCAATTTTTATCATAAGTTTACAATGTCAATGTTAATTAAAGACATTACACTGTATTTCTGCAGCATTACAGGTTATTGCTTGTGTTAAATAATATGTATACAGTATGTATGCACACAGAGTATTTAAGTGAATTAATGTCACATAATATTTTTGTGTTTAAAAGCTGAGGAGTGCAACAGTTATTACACATTTGTAGGGATAACATGGCAGATTTTGACAGAAAGCTCAGTGCTAGTTATAATGCCCATGCAGCCCACACCAGAAACGATCATCATGATTGATTCACTATTGTTTAGTTCAATAATTGGATGACATTACCATTCATACTACACCATATTACATTATAACCCCCTGCAGTAATTTTATGTTGTCATTTTCGTGTCAGCCACTGGATGTCGCCCGGTATCTACAACTGCTCAACTTTACCATGTTTAACCAATGTTTACACATAAATAGTAAAGCGATGGCATCAACAAAAAATGTTGGTGGCGCTTTCCAATATTGTGCTTGTCTCGTGCACCTTCAACACAAGAAATTTAAAAAGAAGGAAATACCTTGTTACACGGAAAAAGTAAAAAAAAAAAAAAAAAAGTCAAGTTATCTTATTTAGACTAGTTCATGCATTTAGTATTTGCATTTAGCTGTGTGGTACAATATAATACAATACAGGTGAAAAACATAAAGCAACTCGTGAACGCGCCTTACGTCCCCTGTGCTCGTTCATTCACTGCTCACCTCTGCATCTCCCATCATCACAGAGTCAAGTCAAACAGAATACCACCGGAAGTCCTGCTGGTATTCCTTCACAATAAAAATATGTCAAAAGGTAAAACTTAAATTTAAAGTTTAACATGGAGCTTTTCGTGTTTGATTTAACACCCGTGTTAGACAAATGCTATTTCATTATTTCCATTATATTCAGTCCCAATTCTATGACAGAGACTGTTCCCATTAGGGCGACTTTAAAACCTTCATCAATTAGACGTTTTATTTTGATGTAAAATATAAACCGGAAGTACGTGTTTTCTGTATTGAGACAGGCTTGTTCGTTTCTCGTCTTGCTTTTCTTCTCTCACTCAGTCAGTGTTGAGAAGGCAGCAAGAACACCCGTGAGTGTCGGCATTTACCTGTCAAGATACGGAATAACGCACCACCTTAACATTTGGATTATTTCTAGTTTCGACTAGCAAACTGCTAAAGATTATCTCCACGGTCCAGCCATGGGTGTGACCGGGGCGGCATGGAGGGGAGAGGGGGATTTAAATTTCCCTTTCGTCCCAACAGCGTCTTTTGATTTGAAGTAAACGGTGCACCACAGCAGGACCGAGCGGTGTTTTCTTGACATCTTTGACTGACTTAAAAGTTGTTGTTCGTCGATTTCGGAACAGCAGAATCTTTATACACGGGTTTGCTTGTTTTTGTTGATATTTTTTGGAGTATTTTTTTCCGTGTTTTCCTGGAGAGCGGAGGTGGCGAACTGAGAGCGGCTCATCGAGTCGGGACTGACCACTGGAGTTGGTCCTGAAAATGGAGGCTGTTATCGAGAAGGAATGCAGCGCGCTTGGAGGACTCTTCCAAACTGTTATCACAGACATGAAGGTAAGACAAATGAAGTTTGCGACACGACTTATGTTACCTGAGAGCCGATTAGCGACCCTAAAAACTATGTATCCCGGCCGGTTAACTTCCCAAACATCAGTCTGTAGTTGTAAACGTGGATTTCCTCCAACGGTTAAGCTAATCAATTAACGTTAGGTCAACCAACGGTAACCTACCGTTAGCCATACACGGTGTCAGACCTCTGAACCCTACTAAAACCCACACAAATTACTCTATATTAAGTTATAAATTGATAAGCAAAATGGAGTAGAGCTGAGTTACTTTAAAACAATATGTTCAGCTGTTGTTTATGATAGTGTTTCTGCCCTTTCTATATGTTAACCTTTCGTTTTGTTGCACCTAGCGAACACTTTATAATTGACTGCACTCCCTCCATTTTGTTCTACTGGAAAACCATTTTTACATTCACTTGTTCCACTTTGAAGTGGATGCAGCAGCCAACATTGGATACAGACTAAGTAGGGCAATCATCACACTCCAAACTAGGGCATCTTATTTTGATAACAAACCTTATCTCTATTACAGCTTGGCTGATGAGACAATTAGCAATTTCCCAGCTGTTGTACTTGCCTGAAGGAATTCCGGGAATGTAGCTGTCAGGGTAGAAAATTACCCGCAGGGTCTGAAGGCTTTGACATGTGTAGGTCAAATGGCCAGCCATGGAGTCTACTGGAGTCATAAAGTTTGTTATGAATACTGCTCAGACATTCAGCACTTCTCTCTCAGCCTCCCATGTCTCACACTTGGCTAGGTGGTTCATGGTTCCCCTGTCTCTTTAACTTTCAGGTAACTGTGCTGGCAGACAATCCATGGAAATATGCAAATGCTTCGTGTATTTGTTTTGTTTGCACATAAGAATCACACATTTCCAGGTTTGTTTTTTGCAGAGCTACAGATGGGGTTGTGTACTCAAAAAATAAAGTGACAGCTCACTAAACCGGAGCTGTCAACAAGATGAGCAAGAAAGGATGGGAGCTGTGCAGAGGAAACCTTTTTGCCATGGTGCTGGAGTGTTTGGTATCTGTGCTGAAGCAGGCAGCGCCTCTATAGAGACAGAGGTAGACTGACTGTGCAGAGATAGATATAAGTCACATGCAGAGAGAGCAAAGATCATAAAAAACCAAAGTGATGTAAGGGAGAGCAGGAGACAAATAACAGGAGAGAGAAAGTAAGAGGTACTGAAGGTAGAGAGAGTTGAGTTGGTTGTTGGGTGTAATGTTTGACAGCACAACATGACATTCCTCAGACCCCTGACAGTAGTAGCACATCAGTGACAAACATGTGCTTGTGCGATATTCATCACTTTATCCGGTGCTGTCTTACTACCACGTTAGCCTCCTCTTTTCGATGCATTAGACCACTTGTTCTCTCTGTGATGGCTTTGATAGAAGGCTCTTCAGCTATTTTCAGCCTAGGACCTGAATTAGGTAAATTTAGAGTCCCATCGGGAACAAAGCTCATTATACCATAGCAATAGTGCTCTTGTTGTGTGGGGATCTTTCCAAAAGAGGCCTGTGACCCATTTTGCAACCTAACACAAGCAGGACATGACAGTAAGTCTATTCTCCTGTTAGCAGAAAACCAAATAGGAGCAAAATAAAAACCAACTGTATGGAAATTTGGAGGTAATGTGTTATAACAAGTTATACTGTGTTCAAACAAAACCTCTTGCTTATCAACCCTACCAAACAAAATTTCATCCTGTAACTTAAATCAGACTCCCTCAGGTCTACTGGCAACAAGATGGAAAATGTATTTGGGGGGGTGTGATAGAACTGGGTTACAGGTATTGGCAAACCTGAGCCTTGGTTAGTTCTGCTTAACCCTGCAGGTGAGGTGAGGCATCAGTGTGGCCTCATGTTGATCGAGCTGTTACGTAACTGTGGGAACAGTGAAATCTGTGTTGATGATTGTGTCATGTGTTTGTGTCTCTTTTCCCCCACAGAGCAGCTACCCTATTTGGGAGGACTTTATCAACAAGGCTGGCAAACTGCAGTCGCAGCTCAGGTGAGACCGTGTTTATGTGCACGTACAACACATTTGTGTGCTTCTGTGTGTTTTATTGATACAGGAAACTTAAATTACAGTTTTGCAGTACTTCTAATGTATAAATGCACATTAATCAGGATTCTCTTTTGCAGATTTTCTGAAGATTTTGTGCTAAATTTGCATGGACTATAGATTCACAGATGCTTAACCACAACTTTTCAGGAAAATGGCACTGTGATTGTTGCACAACATCTGAGATAACCCATGATGACCCCCTTATAAACCAAATAATCTCATTCCATAAACTGATTTTGTGTTGTATATGGGCCTTAACATTAGACGTCATTGTAAGTTTCCTTCCGAAGATGGGCCACGTGTCCTCAGACAGACAAGTAATGACAGTTCACATAAAAGTCTAATTTCTTAACAGTACTGTCCAGCGGTCATTTTGTGTCCCTCTCCCCCATCTAGTCTTCTTTAAGCCTGATTTATTTCTAATGCTGTAAATTTGCACACCTCCTGTCCAAAATTATTCCAAGTCCTCAGCTAACAATGGATGCCAATCCCAGTCACCTCTCCTAGTTGGTTTTAAGTGGCCACGTGTCAAGAGACAAACAACTCATGACAGCTGAAATAAAAGCTTATTGTCAAGCAAGCACTGTAAATATGGATGTCCTGTGGTCTAAATTATTCTTTGATTAACAATGCATGGCAGTTCTCTAGCCATTTAAGTGTCCACGTGTCCTGAGACAGACTAATAGTGACAGTTGTATAAAGGCTAGGGGACTGAACAATACTTTCCAGGGACCACTCAGTGTCTCATTCTTCCATTTTCTCAGTATTAAGGCTGATTAATGGTGATATGTTATTCAAGTGTGTCCGTCATTCGGGGGTTAAATATGTGACCCTGCCATGCTAAAGCTCAGGGGGAGTATTTGTGGCCTTGTTGCTAATGACTGGTTGTTTGGCAGTAGGGTGTCCGTGTGTCTGGGCACCTGGGGCAATGATAAAAGAACAAATCTACCAGTAATTGTACTGGCGAAAAGGTGAGTTGAACCTACTGTATGGCAGTGAGATGTTTTTCCACAGTTATAATAGGATAGTGGCATTTTGATGATGGAGATGTTTGTGAAAAGTTGCCGTCTGTCTAATATTGATATGTTACAATTTCTGATCACTGTCTTATACTATGACCTATTCATTTTAGGGCATCACACCACTTTTAAGCACAGTTACTTCTTCACAGGATGAGTTGGGTGTCATTCATAGAAAGACAACCATGTTTTAGTGTTTTAGGCTAACCTTTGCCCGATTGAGGTTGTCTTACACCCTGCTCCAGGCTTGCAGTGGTTGTGGCATATGGCTGGCTGTAACGATGCCCTTGCTGCTGAAGCGCTAATAAGAGTGTGCTATCTGGGTTTGCTCGTGGTGACCTACAAATAGGCTTTTTCTGTCTGCTTTAAAGCCTGTCTCCAGCCACTAAAACTTTGGCCAAACTAGCCCCTTTGACTACAGCATAACCCCCCCTCCCCCCCCCAAGGACCTCTGTAATCTGCCTGGGGACTGGGCAACACACACACGTACACACACATATACACACAGTCAAACACAAACACACCCACCTTCCCTCCTTGGCCTGGATAAGTGACTAGCCAGCAATGGTAGCGGCATATGTCTCTGTGTGTAATGACGTCCTATGGCAGACTACTCTGTAATTTAGACCCTCTGCTCCCCTCTCACAAAGCAACTAGGAAATCAACCAATTACAGTGTTGGGCCTGTTCTGTCATTTTTTGGTCCAAATGTGGTGTTTTTTTTTCTGCCCATTCTGGTTTTAAGCAGCCATCACACACACACACACACACACACACACACACACACGTGCACGTGCACTGAACAGCTTTGAAGAAAGAGGGCAGGGTGGAATATGGCCTAGCTGATTTCTAATCACAGTCCTCTTTTAACTTTTCAGTATTTGGTCTGTTTGGTGGGTCATGGTTGATGCAGCTGTGGCAGAGCTAGGCGTACACACAGTCCTCCGTCCCTCTGATGCTAATTTTGTGAAGAAGCAGACCACCTCAAAACTCGAAATTCAGCTAGTGAGCTGTATGGTTGTAAATCTTATTTGGGTTCGAGATGGAGTCTTAAAATATTTAGATGATAAATGGACAAGTAGATTAATAGATGGATGGGTTGTGGTGATGGGTACTTTAAGTAATTTCCATATTTATTAAATTTGTATCCATCACAAAAAATTGAACATACGAACAAGGTCCATAATGAACACCGAAGTGAAAATGCAGGTAGGGTTAAGGTAAGCCTACCTTTCTGTGCTGCACACACTGTAGAGATTAGCAATGATACACAAGCTCGACACTACATTGCAAATAAATTTGGTTTATTTTTGTCAAAATACTTCCAAACATCACTCTTACCCCTCGTAGCCATTCTGCCTGTAACATTAGATTGAGTGATGCCAGACTGAAAATGTCTAATGTTATCTGCGTCTGTGCAGAGCTCTCATTTGTGCTATATGGAACTGTGCACATATTCATAGATAGCGGTTACATCACTGCATCCCTTCCAGAAGAATGTAAACTTCTAATATAGAACAGGGTCAGCTTACATTTATATTTATATATTTATTTTTGCATCTTTCACAAAGCAGAAAGGAATGTGATTACTTACGCTTTAATTGCGGAGTGGGCAGACTAACAGACAGACATACAGTACAAACATAGCCTATATATAACATCTAAAGCACACTCAAAGCACTATCTTCATAATGAGTCGTGGTATGTTTTGCCTCAAACAAGTGGAGTTAAACACAACATCTTTCTATGATTCAGATTTATTACAGTCACATTCCAGTTTCTGTTGAACTAAGAATAGATGGGGGCAGCAGTGCTGAATGTGTCATTGTCAGAAAGAGCACTCTGCTGCTGTACTACACCAGGGTCTATGGGGAGTTTGGATAGGCTTGGCCAAGGCCTTGCTGAATAGATATGTTAAAGGCATTTGTCTTGACTCCAGGATTCCAGGATAGGGGCATTTGCAGATTTTAAGGCCAGTGGTAGCAGTCAGGTCATTTTTTTTTCATACAGCCACAGATGTCTTGAGGCTTTTTGGGTAACTGTCAGAGCGAAAATTAAAACCAGTTATTCTGCCTTTAGTGTATTAATTTATCTATTTAGAGGATACCTAATTTCACTGTCGATTGAGCCAGAAAATTCAGAAAAGATTTTGAATGTTTGTTATTTTTCAATGCTGCCTATTTTACAATTCTCTGTGGAATGTAAAACTATGTTTTTCCTTTATGTTGACAACTTCTTTGAGGTTGTGCTGATAGGAGTTGAAAGTGTAGTGAACCGGTTCAATAGTTTGGCATTTTCCTTGTAAAAGCATGGAACAGATTACAGCAGATAATCACTGCTTGTAATTGCAAACTACTGCACATTGTGCTTCAGTGGGCTGGGGCCTCTGATAGTAAAAGCAGGCTTCTGTTAAAACCACTTCCCGCACAAACCTGTTTTGGATTAATAAATTAAACTTGACTGAACAAGACTTTGCTGCCAGTGCATGTAAAATCTAATCCACAGACCAATGTGTACATGGTATAAATTTGTGGAGACAGATATCAGTTGGAGGTTGCTCCGGTGGCCGCACTCACTGGGCTTTAAATAGAAAGGAATCTGTGTGTGCCTGTGCGTATGTTTCTTTTTCCACTTGCAGGACACACCCTTGGATCTTCTAGTCAGCTCTGCAACAACACAGCACTTATTAGCCAATAGTTTATTAAGTTTTTGGGTGATAAAGGAGGTAACTGTTCTAACACTGACTAAATGCTAAGACTTGGCTGTCCCTAGAAGAATATTTAGGCCACAGACTACGGTTTGTATCAGTGTTGTTTATCAGTCAATCAGCTGTGCTCTGTTTTCCCTTTCTGTAAAGCTTGTAGGAGGCCCCTCTGAGATGTTATCTGTAAATCCATGAAGCATCTAACAACTTTCACATCTTGAGACAGTACTGTGCAGCTAACCATTAGGAACTAAACACAACAAACCCTCAGTCTATATAGAGATCTTTTCCATACGCAAGTCATTTTAAGAGCTCACAACAAAGTGGCTGTATGGTTAGCACTGGTCCTGGATTGGAACCCCAGGGAGCCCCAGTGTCCTTGCACACCAAATGACATGCATCAAGAGACTACTCCAAGGATTTAGCATTGTACTTGTATAACAATACCGTACACACAATGGAAAGTTTTTAAAAGGCATCAAAACTGATGCAGCAGAGCCAGAAATATTGTCTTTGCTGGCTGGCAGCTACATGGTCCGAATGCCGCTCAACTGCCGACAGTTCGGCTGGAGAGTTGGGTATGCTAGTAGCAGCTACAGCAAGCTTAGAAACGTAGATGCATAATGGTGTTGGAATATCAACAATTAAAAACACCTGTGTTCCACCTGCAAGTCAAACTTAAGAGTCACCACCAACCTGTGTTAAGCTATTGTTTCGTGCAGTTGTGAAATCTGTCTTTATGGAAATTCACAAGTTGTGTCATGATGGGTTTTTGTTGGCCCTTGGAACTGTTGGTCATGGAAAGTGTTTACAAATAAGGTACTCAAGGTTAGAACATGCTGTTATACCTTGGAAAATTTCCGAGCAATTGTGTTTCTTTTTTTAGCATGCATGATGACTGATAGGTTGTCTTGTCTCTGTCAAGGAGATCAGATATCACATACAATCACATGCACACACATACACACAAGGAACGTCCTCTTCATACCTATGATCTTAATCATGGGAGGCCCTGTTGTTTCTGAATTAGGTAAGTCAGTATTTGCCAGGTAAAGCCGCCAGCTAACCTGCCAATGAGGCAATCTGTTGCCAGCTAGCAAAGCAGTTGGTCAGTCAGGCAGCCAGACAGCAAGATGGTGTCTATAATGAGTAAAACAAAAAGTAATCTTACACCAAGCTTCCACTACATTTTTATGACAGATTGAATTTTGCCCTTTCTCCAGTCTGATATGTATAAGCACTATTTTATACTGCAATAAATATTTGGTAAACCATTCAAGATGACAGAGATGCAGGTATAAGTTGTTAACCTCCCACAGGCCCGTTTTCCATTTTAGAGCTGAACTGGGTAGATCCCACATTGATCCCTCCATTGACCTGTAAGTGCAGCAAACGCAGCTCAAGAGCTGCTTTGCTGAGCCGGACAGATTCCAGCGGTCTCTAAGTAATCACATAGACATTCCTCGCCCAGCAGGGCATGGGGCATTAGGTTTTAACTTACTCACACACTCACATTACATACAGACACTATCAAACATACTTAAATTTTCACATTATCAGGGTTGATGTAAGCTTCATTATCGTAAGTGCAGCACATGTGGATACACATGCAAAAGATGTTTTTTTTTCTCTGCCTTGCAGAGCAAAACAAGTTCTGATATGTGTTTTTCTTAATCTGAATAGTTTATGTCTGCCTGCCAACACTTGAATGTAATTACTTCAGTTTATCAGCCACCTGTGTTTATGTAACCTCTGAATGATTCAAAGTGCTGCCTCTGCCATCATTATTGCTCTGGGATTTTCTCCGTTTATGTGTACAGTTTTTATTTTTTTTATAGTGTTTGACATCAGCAAAGTGTGATGTGTTTTTTTTTTTCATACTGAACCGCTGTCTTCCTTTTTTCTCCCAGGGCGACGGTGGTCGCTGTGGCTGCTTTCCTGGATGCCTTTCAGAAAGTGGCTGACCTGGCTACCAACTCACGAGGTAAGAAGAGGCTAGAGTGTATGAACATTGGTTTTCTACACAAAATCTTTTTCTGATCCCTTCAAGGGATCTGTCATTTTCAGTCTTGATGGACACTGTGTAGCACAGTGCTGATAGGTTAACTCTGTTTAATGGTATGTGTGTCTGGGCACCTATGTGTCAGTATGTTTGTCTGTGTAGCCCTACTATGCAAGTCAAGTCTTTCACCCCACTGTGCTGAGAAGTTCTGTGGGTTGTTTGCTTTATCGTATGGGTAGTAAATCCGTCACTATGCTGTTTGAAGCTCGGCTGCTGGCTTTGTCTTCGACCTCTACCCCCCCCTTTTCCCCTGCTCTTTACCCTGCCACCCCCCACATACACTCCACCTCTGCTACATCTGGACTCTCCGGTGGAGTTTACTTCAACTCTGTGTGCGCATAAGAGGGAAAGAGGGAGAGTGAGAGATCTCATCCCTCTCTAGCTTTGACACCTCCAGCCCTGCTTCATACTATTAATACTATTAATAGGTACTGAGACAGACACACACATTTATCATCTCACTCACTGCAGAGAGCAAGAGAGGGGGGAGAGAGATGGGGGAGCACAGGGAGTCATCATTCTCTCTCTCCCTCTTTCTCTTTCTCTGTCTAAGACACACAGTATAAATGTTTGCTGCGAAGGAGTCAGATTCAGTCAGCTGAAGAGAGTTGCGTCATCTCTCATCTGCTCTTTCATCACTTTCTCTCTCCATTCTCTCTACGTATTGTATCTTAGCGTAGCAGTATCGCATAACACCCTTATCGTTTTTGTCCTCTGTTGCTCAGGCTTGGCTATACACTGGAGCTCTTCAGCATAGAGGCAAGCATGGATAATGTGATATAATGCACTGTTGGCTGACATGTTGCTATCTGTAGATGCACAGATGCATAACCTGTCCACATGATAATTGTACCCGGGTAATATAATAAGTTTGACTACCTGGATTATAGATGATATTTTCCATTAAGGTTCCAGCTGTATCTTTTCACATTCCTAAAATGTTTATATTAAACCCTATACCTCAGATTGGTGAGGCACATTGTAGGGCACCATATTTCTCTCCGCCACTTATGCCTGTAAGCCTTTTATTTAGCTTATCACATTCTGTACGAGCTTATGAATGCTTTGACACCTTAATGGTTTTTGATATGTGTATCTTTATCTTCTTATCTGTATTATTCTTTATCTTTAAATAATGGAATTTGTAATGCTTTTTTGACTGGTTCAGTGCCCATAACACCCCTCAGCTTGATTTATTATTTGCAGTAGTTCAAATGTCTGGAGAAAATACTAGTTTTACATCTAATAGATCTAACAGCAGCCCCATCACACACAAACACGCACGCACATGGGAACACACATATGCTCTGACAGCTGCTGTAATGACCAACATGTGTTGTAGAGAGAGTAACTTTACTATCAAGTAAGGATGTCAGAGTTTTTTTTTAATTTGTTTGCTTTCTTGTTTTGATGTATTGAGCTTATTTAGGGGCCCCCTAAACAGTTGCTTGAAGGCAGGAGAGTGAGTCTGAAAGAAAGTTTTTTCCTTATTACTAAAGTTAACTCATTTTAAAGATGCTAGCAATATAGTTTTTTCCAGTTTCTGGTAGCTCAGAGGCAAGAAAAATTGCACTGAATTTTAGGTCAGCTCCCACAACAGGCCACAATATCTCTTTGCAAAAGAAAAATCTTTTTGAGAACTTGATCTCTGGAGTCTAATTTACTGAGGAGTCATTTGTCACCAAACCAAAGTGCTCTGTTGGAATCTACTGTATTTACAAAACAGTTATGTACATGTAATGAACCTCCAGACATGCCCGAGGTATCCGCCTCTCCTCTGTGAAGATATCAGCTTACTGTATTGTTCGCCTACAAAGCAGAAGAGCAAGGAATACTTTCTGAAGACATCACGGCCCGCATGTGTCTCTGTGTGTGTGCTTGCTACAGTAGCTTTGATGTTTAAGATCATCTGCGTGGTTTTGTGTCTAGATCAGATAAAGGATGGACTGACCGACACACTGTTTTCTGTTTGCTCATCATGCTGAGGACACATTATACACACACAGATGATGACTTCTTTCTTTGATTCTGTCTATCTTTCTCCATCTTGTTGCTTCTTGTCCTTGTGTGTGACTCCAAGTCCTAACCTTCTTCACACAGCCATCACCATGGTGACAGCGTGGAAATCAGGTGTTTGCGGATCAAAAGTGTCTATGTGTGTGTGTTATGGGGCTAAAGTAAAAAAGGAAACAGCCCTTCTTCTCTCTACCACCACACCACACAGACAGCCTACTGTAAACATTCTTATAATAAAAATAAAGGCACACAAACATGAAAGTAACCAGAGACTTGACCATGCACGTGTCAAAGGTTGTTTAGTCGCTTAATCAGGAGAACAAGGCTTTGGGCCGCCTTTGTAAATGGTTGTACTGTCTTATAGTTTTGCAGATATTGGCAGTGATGGTAGCTCATAAAAATTCAAGGGCTGATCACTAAACTCAGAAGACTTTGATATGTAACAGCGGTTATGTTTATAGTGTTAAGATGAAAGTTTCTCCAGAACTCTTTTATCAGTGTTATCATTGAAGTAGCGTGATTGAAAGACACATTAACAGAAGTGAGTCTGCTCAAAAGATGAACCTTAGACTGCAATGTTGTGCTGTGTTGGCTTTTAAGAAATCTGACTCACTCAGTTCCCAATCAAAATAAAATCTGGACATGATTAACTCCTAATTAAACATTCTTTTGCAGTTATCATATAGGTAACCCCAAGCAAGACATGAACTTGATACATCTGTCTTTATACCAATAGTGCATCTGATGTTTTCTCTTCAGTCCTTGAATATATTTCTAGTCCTGAATACCAACTCAACACAGGACTTTTTCCATTTCTGACACCAGTATCTGCGCCTTACCAATACAGTTGTTTAATTGTCGTCACAGGTTAAATATATGCATGGAAGGTTCAAGCTCTTCTGAAATACCTCATGATTTCATTAAATTTAGGCTATTAAGAGACTAAAATAACAGGAAAACGCCTTATTCACAGAGGCTGACCTTTTGCCAAGATTTCTCTTTGAATTCATAAACATCTACTGGGTCTCAACTATGGTCTATGGTCTATTCACAACTTTTTTCGTATCTTCCTGGCAAAAATGATTAGTTCCAGTGTTATTAAATTAGAATGTTACTCATGCAATGTCATTATCAGTGTTGACAGGCTGTTGGGATTGTTCTCTCTCGTGCCTGCTCAGCAGCTGTGTAAGTAATATTCAGTCATTGTGTCATCTGTTGATTCAGATGAAGCTAGCTGACCATTGGAAATAATCAATTGTGCAGAATCACATAACCTCTGTGCTTTATTCTGTTAACTCTTCTTCTTGTAAAATACCTAACAGGCAACAACCTAACCACAACATTATAATCTTAACAATAATGCAAGTGGTCTTTGATTAAAATATGCCTGTTGATTTAAGGTGAAAAATTTGTGTCAGCACTATAGCGATGGTTGTTTCATACAAAACGCTCTGGGTTGTGAAACAATCTCCCAGTGTAAACTTCAGTAAATGCTCATTGCATGAGCTAAGCACTGTGGCGTAGTAAAAATCTTCAGCTGAGTTTGGGAAACAGGCCAACAAAAGACTGTAGCTTCATATAATTATCAGCATGCTGTTTGTGTTCCTGCATTTGTTTAAGTGATTTATTTGAACTGATGTATGAAAGCCAGATGTATTCATAAACATGAGCAGAGGAGAAGAATCCTGCAAAATTGCAGCGTTGGGACAGTTTTTGCAGTACATGGACCAGGTTGAGAACACCCAATCAGAGGATAGTTAGGGTTAAGAAATGAGGATTAAGATGCAAGAATTAATGCGTATTACCAAAATAAACTCACGCTGATTGCATACGTTTCTTGTTATTGTGAAGAATTGTAAAGGTAAAGTCCGGCTTACAGGTTTACAGTTGAGTGAAATAAAATAACTGGAATGCCAAGTGGAGAATGACTGAATAAAAGAAAGAAAGAAAGACTTAAGTTTCCAGACAAAGCCTTTTCTTTTCCTCTGTTGTGCTCTATTATTCAGAGTCTACTGGAGCTGACAGTGAACACAGACACAGCAGACTGGATCTGCTTGCTTTGGTAGAACTCACACATATAATTACGTACAGCAGTATACACGAATAAATAGAGAGCTACGCACTCATAACCATAGATTCTCACACACCTGTACACATTCAGATGTGTTCATGTACATTCACAGACACACACAGAGACAGAGGATTAGCCGAAACCACCTGTTTCGCTGGGCTCTGTTGTGGTCTGTTCAGATTTGGACTTTCTCCACGCACAAAGGACTCACTTTGCTTTGTTGTCTCGGTCTGATAAAGTACATTGAAGTGTGCTCTGGCATCTCCCCACTGCCTCACGTTTCTTCTTGTTTTCCAGCTACATTTTTGAACTTCTGTGCAAATGTGCACAGCTTTTATTCTTCATGTGTTGCCTGACAAATTATTCTTCACGCTATTCTTAGAATGTAAGGGTTTACTTTACATTTTCATACAAATTCAGTTTCCCTCGAAACGAAGCTGCCCTTTCCCTGAGGACATTTATTCATCCAGTTGTTTGTACTCTGCCTCTCTCTTTTGTATTTGCAGCTTTGTTTGCTTTAGCTGTAGGTGTGTAGTACAGAAAGCTTAGCGTTGGCTATTCCATGTATTTTCCAAATGGATCAGACATGTTTTTAATGTGGTCTAAAACACTGGTTGTCAACAGCAAGTAGCTCAAGAAGTGCCCTGAGCATGCAATGGTTAATCATTAAGGAAAGTTTACAATAAACATTAGCTCCAAGCCTCTGAATAATGTTAGTTCTGTGAAACTGAGAAACCAGCATTTGCACAGATGTGGGACAAACCAAAATATTACCAATAAAAAAAATAAATGTAAAGCATTCTTGGAAGACTAAAACGTGAAAGATCTTGTTTAA